ATTCCAGTGAATAATGTCGATAGAATCGTCAAAATACCGAACATAGGGAGGTACAGTTAAAAGGGGGCCATGCCTAAACGTGGACTAATGTAGCTCAATACCAAAAGTCCTGCAGACCAAACACACATTTGAGTACAATTTTAACAACCAACATCAATTCGTTCGAAAGCTAGAGTGATTTCCACAGGCGGACTGACATCTCTAAATCGACATAGAATTGTATACTGGGCAAGAATATATATTCTTTGTGGGATCTAATCAACTTAATCAACAACGTACCCTCCATACTATGATGAAGGGTGTAAAAATACTGTTACCAAAACAGGCTATAAACAGAATGAGGAATTGAATATACCCTTCTTTGAAAGGTAGAGGGTATAAATGCAGTATTATATATTTGGGTTTATAAAAAGAATTTCCTTTATATTTTCTAAAAATTTCAATGTTCAACAATTTTAAGTTCGAAACTCCAAAAGTTTTTTTGTTTCACATAATAAGAACTCAAAATACCAATATCCAACTATTTAGCTAACTTGGTTATGTAAACTTTCAGAACGAAAAAATTAGTAAAATATACCCTCCACCATTTGGAAGAAACTTAAAAAATTCCAAAACAAAAAATCTGTCGAAAAATACCGCTTTAATGAAAATCGTTATTAAGAGCTATACGAAGACCTAGTACCGATTTTGAAACAATTTGGTGAAAAATGTCGCTAATATCATCAAAATACCGAAAAAGGTACCTCCCTTTATATGTGGGATATACGAAGACGTGGACCTGCAAAGACAATTTTCTGTCATAATTTGTTTTACGAAATTTAAAACAATTCCGCTGAATGATGTCGCTAATCTCATCAAAATGCTGATTATCGGGAGGTATCGTTAGTACCCATAGTATGGTGGAGGGTATAAAAAAGGATTGTTAATTCTTCCTTAACCAAACATCTATATGGATATATTTTGAAATTTTAAATAGATGCATTGCCACTTCAATTCAATCCTTCTGGTACTATCAATGCATATGACAAAAATTTCAATGTAAACATTTAATGTAATTCTTATATCATTAGAATGTTAAGGTTTCAAATGAATATTTTGTCATTAACCAAAATTTTCAATTTCTTCAAAAAACACTCAAAATTATTTTTGTTTATTTTTCATTTGAATCTCACATTGTATCCATTGAAATCACCTAACTCTGCAACTGTTTTGAATTCGATTCGATTTACTAAGTCAAACAAAGTTAATTTAAGCAATCGCATAAAGCACTTAATGTCATCGGAGAAGAGGATTTATTCGATGAAATCTAAAGCCGCTTAAAATTCGTTTACAAATAATTTCGACGACATTGCCATGTAATAAAGAAATCTGCCTCGTTTTTCTTCATAAATCAGGAGGTTCTTCAGAAAAAAAAATCAATAAATATTGTCAAGCGTTTCGTTACGATTTTGCCAAGGGCAATTTAATTCTTCTGTCTTATGTCATTGATTGATTTGAAATCCGCTCCACACCGCTAAACCATTCATATTTCTCGCTCACCGTCTCGCGGACGACATTAAAAGCTATTAGCAGTTTATATTCCCCCCACTTTTCGCGTTTTTCCATCACTTTTTTTCAAAATCAATTAAAGTATTATGGATGACATTGTTTATGAATATTCAGCAGACTGTGGCGGCATATCGGCCATTGAATCGTTAATTTAATTTTCAAATAATAAATCAATTTATTACTCATTTCTCATAGCTCATAGCTCTCTGCTTAAGCTCTTGGTATTTAAATGTCATTGTGAGCCGAAATTTCCATAGTAAAAGCCACCTCCCTGGAGATTGAAAGGGAGGGGAGTGTTAAGCCCGAAGAAATGAATTACTTAAGTTACTACTTGTTACTTAGTCTCCCCCCAAAGATTTCAATTGTATTATAATTTGCTTTTTCGTTTCGCTTTTTTTTTTTTCAAGGGAATAACATGGATACTGTGATTTTTTGTTTGGTGGTGGTGATGTTTTTTTTCTGACCCTAAGTGGCCAGAGAGGTATTTCATTTCCCATCACAAAAATCCCCAAAAGTATTCGAAATGAAAGAAATTGTTTTCAAGTGCATTGACGTCACAAAAGTTGTTGAATTTCTGGTGAATTGAAGTGGTCAAACCAAAACTCCAGAAATACTTGAAATCTCACAAAATTTTCAAAGTGCCAGAGAAAATTGTAGGAGTTGTTTTAGTTTTTTTTCTTTATTGATAAAATTAATTATATTAATCTTTGCAGAGACACAAGAGAAAACTTGCTCGTAATTTGCAACTTGGTATATAAATAATAAAAGCAAAGTTCAGCATAGTTTTGTAAGAAAAACACAAAAATGTTGACATTTATGTAAATGAAACTTTTATAAGAAATTAATATTCGTAATATTCGTGATTATTAACAAAAATTTGAACGATTTTTTGTCATAAATTAAGAGACGCTCAAAATTCAAAATCGGTGAATTTTTAAATCACAGTTTTTAAGAATAATTTTTAAGGCTTTTCTCTCTCTCTTTCTCTTTGTGAGGTATAAAAATATCTGATTATTAAAATGAGGTATAAAATATCTGATTGTTGATTAAGATGAGGTATAAAAATATCTGATAGTTAAAATCAGATATTTTTATACCTCACCTTAAAAAGGAGGGTATGTTAACTTTGTCATTCCGTCAGTAACATCCCTAAATACTCGTTGTAGACCCCATAAAGTATATATATATTCATGATCGTCACGATAGCATACTAAGCATACTCCTTCCAACATTTCATCCGGTATCTCACGAATAAATGCTTCAATATTGTCTTCCAATACGTCAATTAAAGCGGGTTCGTCTGTATAGACATTAACCTAACCCTACAAGAAATAGTCTAAAGGAGTGCTTGACTTTCTCTTAGGTCAGACCATCTCCCGAAAATCGTCTCCCAAAGCAGATCAACCGATTTCATACCATCTCAACCTTAACCATGGAAAAGCTCACTGACCAGAGTTCAGGGAATTCCCCAACCTTCGCTTCAGAGAACTGCCCACTTTTTATGTTCGGGTAGCAAAAAAAAATTTCTTGGACATCATGAAAGCAGCAGAGGGCGAATGGCTGTGGCTAGACCATGTAAAGTGTTGCAATATTTAAACCAATATCAGTAAACTATGGGTAACGGTTAAGTCACTCTTGAAACCTGGAAAAAAGGATGGCCTAGGAGGTATCCCCACAGTTTGCAATGGGTGATGTTACGAATATCATCAGAACCCTTATTAATCCAAGGCAATTGAATGAAAGCAAAAATGTCGGAAGTTTAGATTTGTTCGAATTGTTCACCTTTGACACGAAATATGGCCTTCAACCTTGCCAACCTTGCTTTCTAAAATACTCCAGACACAAAAGTCCAAAGGATTGGTATCCGGAGATTTTGTGAGGCCTTTGTGCGCCGGAATGAAGCGACATTTTAAGCTGACCTCCTTTGCAAGTAAACACGATCATTTTGTTTTCCCATCGGAGAAAACCAAATTCGGCAGTACACCACTTTCGGCCAAACGAAACAACCCTTTAGCTCTTTTGAGTCTATTTTCTTTCTGTTGCGGTGTAAGTTCTTGTACTTTTTGGAATTTCAATGGCTTTACCCCGAGCTCATTTTTCAATATTTGCCGAATGGAATATTGCGATATGTTCAGTTCACAAGCCATTTTTCGGCCACTGCGACGCGGATTTCGATCAAGTCGCTTCTTTACTTTTCGAACCATTTCTGCTGATGTTGCTGTTTGCTTCCGTCCACTTCCTTGACGTCGGGCTACGCTACCAGTATCACGAGTGTAATGAGCGATGGTACGAGACACAGAAGATGTATTCTCATTTAAATGCTGGAGTGCTCTAACGATAGCCACTAGTATTTTTCCAGCCAAATATAAAGAAATCACACCATCACGCTTGAACTCCATCACGAATATTTTTTTATTTTTCCGGAAAATTCTCACTAAAATGCTTTTGGACGCTTGTAAACAATATAATGAGCTGTGACTGGAATAATTTTAACAGCTGTCGGACGAGTGGCTTAATAATGTTGGTTGCAGTTTTTTCCATCTCACTCTGTATTGTCTTGCTAATTTCCGTTGTTGTTTATTTTTTATCCCATATAATAATAATGATAATAATGATAATAATAATAATAATAATAATAATAATAATAATAATATAATAATAATAACAATAATATAATAACAATAATAATAATAATAATAATAATAATAATAATAATAATAATAATATAAACAATAATAATAATAATAATAATAATAATAATAATAATAATAATAATAATAATAATAATAATAATAATAATAATAATAATAATATAATAATAATAATTATAATAATATAATAATAATAATAATAATAATAATAATAATAATAATAATAATAATGAAAATAATAATAATACTATAATAATAATAATAATAATAATAAACAATAATAATAATAATAATAATAATAATAATAATAATAATAATATAATAATAATAATAATAATAACAATAATAATAATAATAATAATAATAATAATAATAATTATATAAAAACATAATAATATAATAACAATAATAATAATAACAATAATATAATAATAATAATAATATAATATAATAATAATAATAATATAATAATAATAATAATATAATAATAATAATAATAATAATAACATAATAATAATAATAATAATAATTATAATAAAAACAATAATAATAATAATAACAATAATAATATAACAATAATAATAATAATAATAATAATAATATAATAATAATAATAATAATAATAATAATAATAATAATAATAATAATATAATAATAATAATAATAATAATAATAATAATAATAATAATAATTAATCCCTTCATAAAGACAAACCACCTTCAAAGACTTCTGAGAACATTTGCTTTATTTTAGAAATTTATATAAGTATGTATATAAGTGTGTATCTTTGTATACGTGTTATTTTTGTTACAATTCACAATGTTAATAAAATGTAGTTCCTCTCAATAAATGTGGCTTACAACAATAATTATATATTTTTTGGAATTACAATTAAAACAAAACACAGAATAACATTTTGCTATTTTCCTTATCTAAATCATAAACAATCTACATATTTATTTAGTTTTTTTAATTTGTTTTTTTAGCTTTGCTTTTAATTACAAAAAAAAATAAAATAAAAAAGTTCCAACTAACAACTTTGTATCCAAATGTGGAAGATGTCAGTGCCATGTACCAACCAGTGGTGGTGAATTCATGGTTATTTTTCCTTTTCGTCCTTTTTGCCATTTTCCCATATATATTTTAATATCCTTGCTGTCAGTTGAGTTCCGTTTCTAGTAGATGTTGTTGTTTTTGCTTGTCCTGTGGTTGACAGAATTTAATCACAAACTTGGGTACGTTTGCCCAGACGTGGTTTAAATTGTACCGACTTTTTCATAACATGTGGCAGATATTGCCTGGCCATAGCCACGCCATAATCGTTGGTCAAACCATTGCCATTGTTCGAATCATAATCTCGGGAAGTCGAGAAGGCAGAATTGCCAGCAGCACCGCGGGATGTAATTGGGGCAGCTCCATCGAACAGTTGGTAATCAATACTGCGGCCCAGGCGTGGGGTGCGTCTTGTAGGCATTTGCCATTCACTGTTTTGCACTATTAACAGGGAACAATGAAACGACAAGGGAAACAATTGAAAATGTCATATTTTTTTTTTAATAAATGAAAATAATAAAATAAATGGGCTATTTTATATATAAATGTGTATGTGTGTATGTATGTATGTGTGTGTATATATGTATGTATGTATGTACGAGTATGTCTCTCTCTCTTCCCTTACATTGTTTAATCTTCTGCAACAGCATGTAGTAAACCAATGGCGACATATTCTCAACATCGATGGCTTCCTGCGATTGTGGCATCAACGACGATTGCAAAATGGCATTATCGCCTAACTCCTCGAGAAACTCATTGAAATCCTTTAATTCACCGGTGGTGCCAGCTGCACCAAACAAGCCAGCTGCCGCCGTACCCATATCCAGCTGGGAACGTTTATGGCGTATTTCGGGTTTTACTTCAGTTTCGACATGTCCTGACTCATGTTGAGCTGCTGCCACAGCCGCTGCTGCTGATGGATGTTCAAGATTTTTCGTGGAGATCTAAAAGTGAGATTGAAAAGCATTAACATGTTTATCTGCTTAGGCAGCATATGGTGGTGTGTTTGTATGTCTGTTGGTGGCTTTCAGATACTTGGCTATGTCAACAACATGCAAAAATCTCAACTACACTCTAACATCTGCCAATCGAAAGCGAAAGCAACAGCAAAAAATGTAAAGTAAATTTTAAGGGTTCTTGAGATTTGGCACAGAAATACTCTTTGGGTTTTAACATGTAATCCTTGACTGCGGGCAGATATGGAACACACTCTAATATCGTCAGAATAAAAAACGTAACGGAAGCTCTTCAGGTACAATGACAGCAAAGCAGAGCAACTTAAAAAAGTGTTGTTTTCATCTATGTCATCAAGGCTGTTATGGCATTTAAATAAATTGTTTTTTCCTCAAGGAAATCTAAATGAAATCTAAAACAACTTAATTTGTTTAAAAAAATCGAAATTCTTGAATATTTATAAAAAAAAACATGGATTTTCTTTAGTCACAATTATACAAATGGCTCATCTAGTTTAAGAGTGTTACTAATGTAATCAAAAACAAGTTTAAAAGTTCCAATCGGATCTGCTGACAGACTAATACACCCAGCCATTGTTCGACTTTTTAAATATATTTTGACTTATGATTATTCCAACTGTTGACCTCTATGGAGTGGGCTCTGAAGGAATGGGCCCATATTGTCTATTTCGTATCGGACCTAAATAAATACGATAACAAGTTGATAACTTCGTTCACTTTACATGATACATGTGATAATTTTTAGAAAATGTTAACATGTGCGTGAGGTACCAGGTATAGTCGACCGAAGTATTCCATTTTCATACTTCATCTAATATATATATAAAACAAGTTAAAAAGTATTAGTCGGTATTGCCGACAGATATATACCCTCAGCCTATGTTCGATTAAATAGTCGACTAGTGTTACAATTATTCAAACGTTTGACCCTCTATGGAACCGGTTCCGAAGGAATGGGCCAATATTGTCCCTTTTGTATCAGACCCAAAAATATGATATAAATATTCCACGTTCCTGGTATGGATTGTGACTCACTCCTTCACTTTATATGAAATATGTAATAATTTTTAGAAAATGTTAAAATGTGCGTTTTTATACTTCATCTGCTACAAATAAAAAATATTGAGCGAAATATTGGGCTAAATTACAAGAAAGGATATCTTATTGAGAGAAATATTTGAGCATAGCAAGTAGTAATGAATTGCTAAATTATTTCGATAGTTATGACAGATAAAATTATTGCAAATTATGACCCTTTGTAGGTGAGGTACCAGAAGGGGTTCGCAGATATATATCAATTTAATAACAGATCTTGTGTTAGCAAAAATATTTTTATGTGTGAAATTTGAAGAGATTTGGATGCTTATTTCGCTTTATTTGAGCGTTTTGTTTTTCAAAATCTTGAACCCTATGTGTGGGGAAGGTACCAGAAGAAATGGTTCGATCTATACCACCTTTATAACAGATCTTGTGTTGATAGAAATATTGAGATGTGCCAAGTCTAAATGGAATCGGATCTTAATGTGGCGTTTTATGAGCTTCATGGGTATTCAAAATTTCGACACTTTGTGGGGGAGGTACCAGAAGGAGTGGACCGATACATTCCATGTTAACATCAGATCTTGGACTTATAAAAATATTGAAATGTGTGAATTTTGAAGACGTTCGGATCCTTACATTACATTATTTAAGAGTTATAATTATTCAAAATGTTGACCCTTTGTGGGGGAGGTACTTGATGGAGTGGACCGATACTGTCCATTTTCGCACCCGACCTAAAACTGACGCAAATATTAGGATTTGCAAAGTTAGCGCTAAATCGACTATTCATTTCTCTTTCTGTGCAAAAAATATATTTTTTATATATTTTTTGAAAATTTGTACCTTTTTTGGGGGAGGTACCGAGAGAAGTGGACCGATGTATTGCCTCTTAACACCAGACCTTGGGTTAATAAAAATATTGTGATATGTGAAATTTGAAGACAATCGGACTCTTACATCACATTTTATAAGAGTTGTAATTATTCAAAATTTTGACCCTTTGGGGGAGGTACTTGATGGAGTGGACCGATATTGTCCATTTTCGCACTGATGAAAATATGAGAATTTGCAAAAAATATTTTTTGAAAATTTCGACCTTTTGTAGGGGAGGTACCACAAGGAGTAGACCGATACATTCCGTTTTTGAACCAGACCTTAGGCTAGTAAAATTATTGGGTTGTGTGGAATTTGAAGACTATCGGATTCTTACATCAAATTTTATAAGAGCTTTAATTATGGAGTGGACCGATAATGTCCATTTTCGCATATGACCTAGCACTGACGAAAATATGAGGTTTCGCAAAGTTCGAGCAAAATCGGATTATCCTTTCACTCTCTGTGCAAAAAATATATTTTTTGAAAATTTCGACTTTTTGTGGGGGAGGTACCAGAAGGTGTGGACCGATACTGTCTATCTCCGAACTGGATCTAAGTTTGACAAAAATATTACGATGTACCCAGTTTGGACCAAAACGGATACTCCCTTCGAGAGTAATCGTGTGCACTATCCAGCCAGACAGACTGACGGGCGGACGGACATCGCTAGATCAACTCCAAATGTTCTGAAACGGATTTGGTCCAAAGAGACCCAGGGTCTAAAACCGTTATTTCGACGTTTTGACCTATCAAATGATATATACCCTCTGTAGCCATATGGCTGAGGGTATAATTATTGTATATGTTGGAAATAAGATAACTCGAAAAGTAGTCTTTAGAAATAACTTCGAAGTGGTAAGAGTGTTATTTCTTTGTGAATTTGTTTGTAACATGGAGAAGGGTGCGAAATAGACCCATAGTTACTTTTGAGGATCTTCATAGATTCACTTTCCGAGTCGGTTTATGCATGTCTGTCCATCTGTACATGTTTTTGTGAACAACATTCAGGTCGTATTTATTATCTTTTATAACAATATTTGTTTGGCCCAAGGCCGAAAGCTATTGAAATTTGTGAGAATCGGTTCAAATTTGGATATAGCTACCATATATACCTTCAACCAATTTCGGATTAATTGTGCACATGACCTGTATTTTGGTCCATCCCACCGAATTCGGTCTAGAAGCAAGTAAAACAAATTCGGAATTATGGAAATCGGCTGAGATATAGCTATAGCACCATATATATGTTTCATCTGATTTGAAGTTTTAAGTCCATCACATTCGTAATGTGCACTTCACATCAATGACAGTTGGTACCAGATATCAGATCCCTTCTAAATATACCTCTGTCAAATTTTATCGAGACCTAATTAGATTTGGATAAAGCTTCCAACAGGTCAAAGGAAACGAGATAGACCAATAGTTTAAGATCTGCATAGAATCACATTCTGAGTCGATTTATGCATGTCCGTCCGTCTGTCTGTCCATGTATTTTTTGAAAACAAAGTACAGGTCGCATTTATTGCCCGATCAAAATGAAAATTTGCGCAAATCATTTTTTTGGCCCAAGGTCGAATGCTATTAAAATTGGTCAATATTTAGGGCATCAAATGGACAATACAAGCCCGAATTGAAAAGATACAAATGTCTCGTCATATTTAGTCCTTTGAACTTTAAATTATAATTATAATCATAGAAGGTATGATTTAATTCTCCCATAAAACTTTTAATTGTTATGTGAAGCTCTACTAGATATGCAAAATGGTGTAGGGTATCATAGAGTCGTCCCCTCCCGACTTTAAGACTTTCTTTACTGTTTTAATATAATCCTTATCGCAGTAAACTAATTTTTTTTTTGTTACCTGAGCTCTACTAAATACGCATAGAAGTGTAGGGTATCATATAGTCGCCCAGCCCGACTTTTACTGGTTTCTTTCTAGCAACAATATTCCGAATTTATTCAAAATATGAACTACAAATTCTAAACCTCATATATTTGTTACATTTAAACAAATTTAATTTAAGATATTTCCTCTTATTTTCAGATTCTCAAATAATTAAACACACGATGACATCGATGAAATTCTAAGAATCGGATTATAAATTTAAGTAAACCAAAGAATTAAACAATAAACACTTGAAATTTTATAACTTGCTCGCTAAGCTCATGTTTCGCGACGCAATATCTCATGAGAAACATCTCATGACAAGCACATTTACATATCTACACACATACGTTTTCCCGGAAACATAAATACGCATATTCGTTTCATCTTCAATCCTTTTAAGCTGAAGACTGAGCTCTTCAAATTCCCACAATTTGCCATCTTCGTCGACATGTCACATCATCATCGTCATCATCACCCTCTAATCAACTGAAATTGTCTCAATAAATTACGTTAAAGTGAAAAACTTTTTCCGCAAAAATTCCAAATCAATTAACATTTGAACTTGTGTGGAAATCCCTGGATGATTTCAATGTCCTTGCGATTGTCAGGGACACATTTTTGTTAACAACTAACTACGGAAGGGTTTAGTTGCCACTGTAGGGGCCGAGAGGGTCGGTATGAAGATGGGAGAGGATAAGAAAAAATCAGCAAAACAACAAAACTTTACGACAGCTCACAATAAAACATAATTGTTCCAATTGTTGTCCTGATGGGGTTGTTTTTGTTTTTTCTTTCTCAGTCTCTTTCTCTCTATTCTCTATTCAACATTGAAAAAGTTTCCATTGCCTTAACTCCCAAAACATTAATGCAAAGTGTGTTTGTGTGTGTGTGAAAGAGTTTGCGTGTCTATCACCAGCAAGGGCAACACCTGGCTTAGGTGTAAATTCTCTAAACATATCTGTCCTTTTACAAATGGAAATCGGATAATGGGGTTGAGATGGAATTTGAAGATTTAAATACGGAAGTAGACAGGTGTTTACATTTAATGGAAGAGTTGACTTGTTTTATCTACCCAGAAGTAAAATTTATAGATATGAAAAAAATTCTACTTGTCCCTCCCGTCATGTTCAAGGGTATATTATGTAATGATTAGGCCTATTTAGT